GGGGGACCGCGGTGGCGCCCGCCCGCGTGGACCGGGAGCGTGCCTGCTCCAAGCGGCAAGGCCGGGGCTCGGCTCCCTGCCTGAGTCCGAGAACTCGGGAAAGGCAAAGCCCGTGGCTGTGGAAACGGAGTCCCGTTCTCCGGGGTGCCTGGGATTGTGCCGGAGCTGCCTGGGCCTGCTAGCAGAACCTGCCCTCCCCTACCGAGCATGTTAACCTCTCGCTGGGGTCCCCACACCTCCCTTGCTCGGCATTGTCCACTCAGGCCACCCAATTCCTTCTCAGGGAGGGGGCGCAAACGGAGGCCCCCAGCATCCCTAATCCGGCCTGGCGGAGGCTTCTGGGGGCGAGATCTGGGCCATGCTGCCGACTCCCGGCGCACGCACGTTCCCCATTCATAGCACCAGCCCCTTCTAGCAGCCAGCTCTGCATTCACAGCTTTCCCCCTCCCTCCCCTGTGGCTAGCAGCCACGGGAATGCTGGGAAATGTAGTCTCTTCCCTGCTCCAAGACCAGCTCTCTAGGCAGGGAGCCGGCCAAGGAGCTACAGCTCCCGGGGTACCGGGGGCTCCCCCTCCTGCCCGGCAGAGTCTCACTGCATAGTACAGCGGGGAGCGTGTCTACACTGCAGTGTTTTTCCAGAACAATGGCCATTTTTCTGGAAAAACAATATTGCGTCCACACAGGGCCGGCTCAAGCCATTCCTGCGCCCCGGGCAGCGGGCGTGCAACGCATACGTGGCTCTGCCCCCAGGCGCATGCGTGGCCCCGCCCCCCAGCATGCTGCGCACCTTAAAGCTGCAATTGGGCACCTGATTGAAGCTCTAAGGGGCACGGCCCCTGGCCCCGGGCGCGCGGCGCCTGATGGCAGCTGTAAGAGGTGCCGTGCGGCCAGGCACATGGCGCCCCTTACAGCTGCCATCAGGTGCCCCGGGCAGCTGCCCAGGTAGCCCCCCCCTTAATCCGGCCCTGCGTCCACACTGCCCTTGAGTTCTTTCGACAGAAAGTCGAAAAACGGAGGGGGTTTTCCAACGGCGGTAAACCTCATTCCACAAGGAAGACGCCTTTTTCCAAAAAAGCTTTTTGGAAAAAGGCGTGTGGGGATAGGGTTGCCAGGTGTCCAGTTTTCACCGGACCGTTCCTGATTCCCCGTCTGGTAAAAACAAAACAAACAAACAAAAAAAGCAGGAAATACCGGACATGTGAAATGTCCACTATTTTCTGTTTCCCTCAGATGGAAGCCGGGCGGGGACAATTTTCCCCTGGTGCATCTGGCAGGGACGGGGGAGTGAGATGTGCGGGGCCATTTAAAGGCACAGCACCTTTTTTGGGGGGGGCTCATCAACTTTGTTTTTTTTGGGGGGGGAGCTGGTGTTGTTGTTCAGTATTTTTTGTCAAACCATCTGGCAGCCCTATGTGTGGATGTTCAAGAGGGAGTTCTTTCAAAAGAAGAGGCCTCGAGGAAATCACACAGGTGCCCTGATGGCCATTCTGTCCAGACTAATCACAAGTGAAATGCGAGACAGCATCCAGTCAATGTGGACGCTATCTTTCGAAAAGGCACATCGCTTTCTCGTTGCGCTTTTGCGGTGTGGACGCTCTCTTTCGAAAGAAGCTTTTCTGGTGGATCTCTTCTAGACAGAGGTGGGACAGATACGGGGCCCTTCCGAGTTTGGCCTTGGTGCCAGGGAACAATTGGCTCGGTGGTAAAATCACTCACGACCCAGAGTTCGGGGCACTGCCCGTGTCCCCAGGGAGCTGGGAGCTGTGTGGGGGATGGGCTGCTGAGACCTCTCTAGAGCAAAATGCAGCTCCCCAGAGCTTGGATTGTAACGGTCGTGGTCCAGGGAGATCCAGGGTTTGGGTGCGGGCCCAGCGGTGCGGTTCGCTTCGCCGCCAGCCCCAGGGCCTGCGAGGGACCCGGGCGGGAGCATGCCCCGTGCCTTCCGTTCAGCGGCCCCTCCTCTCTCTCAGATGATCTCCGTGTTCTGCTGCTTTGGGCTCTGGATCCCACGCGCCATGATGCTGGTGGAGATGGCTATTGGCACGTGAGTATCGCTAGCACCCGCCGGGCTTGGATTGAACCAGCCACTCCCTGCCGAGCCAAAGGATTAAGATGTGTGAGGGCCCGAGGCACGAAGACCGTGTGGGCCCCCACCCCGTGAAAAGCAGGGACCTACCTGATTGCATTCATAGAACCACTCCGCTCAGTGTTTGCACGCCGCACGAGTATCAAAGCAGGGCATCTTGTGCCTTTGGGAATGGCTCAGTTTTCCCACATGGAAAATAAACCAGGTTAGATGTCATCCGTACCATGTCACTGCTAAGCTGGAGTCACACGGATCAGTTGTTCAGAGACCCCCAAGTGGATCTTTCATCTCCCCCGACTTTCTGAAACGGGACCATTATGCCCCCTAACCCCCAGTGATCACGTTACAATCCCGTTTTTCTACCGGGGAAGCAAAGCTGTCTGAACGCCCACTGGCACCGTTCCAGACAGCAACAAGTAAAGGAAAGAACCCTAACCCGAGAGAACATTATTCCGCGTAGCCAGCCGGGAGAACTGATCTAAAACAGTTTGTCCCGGATCACGTAAGCTCTGAAAAAACGTTGCAAGGACCCCGATGCATGCCAGTGTCCGCCAAAGGTAAGGCTGTCAAAGCAGGAGAAAGACGCCGTTTTACCGATCACCTGAAATCGTTAGTCCCTAAAGCTTAATCTGAGTGTACAGCGTCACGGTCGGTTATGAAGCCCAACGAGAACATCGTTTTTCCAAAAATCCTGCAGGGAGAGTGAATATCTATCACTTCATTCTACCACTGCCCTTCGTCATCAGGGCCCGACCAAATTCACGGGCATGCAAAACGTGCCCCGACTGTACACTCCGGTGTCCTCCCGTGAGGTCTGGCCTTTTGTGGGCTTTTCCCCTACACTCTACAGATTTCCTGGGGGAGAGCAGCGGTTCTCAAACTGGGGATCCGGGCCCAAAAGGGAGCGGCAGGGGGTTATTTTAGGCAGGTCACGGTGTGGCCACCCCGACTTCTGTGCTGCCTTAGGAGCCGGGCAGCTGGTGAGCGGTGGTTGGAATGCGGGCGGGGTGCCCCGCTCTGTAAGCAGCACCCGGCCAGCAGCGGTGCAGAGGTGAGGGTGACAATACTATAACCCCCGTACATTACCCTTGCAATACCCCCCCGGCCACACACAACTCATTTTGAGGTCAGGATCCCTACAATCACACCACCACCACATTTCAGATTTAAAAAGCCTGAAATGTGCCAATTTTTAAAATCCTAGGACCACAACGTTGACCTAAAAGGACCATGGATTTGGCAGGGCCTGACTCCTCATGGCTGTGTCTACACTGGCACCCCTTTCCGGAAAAGGGATGCTAATGAGACCAGTCGGAATTGCAAATGCCCCGGGGATTTAAATATCCCCCGCGGCATTTGCATGAACATGGCTGCCGCTTTTATCTGGCTCGGGGTTTTGCTGGAGAAAAGCGCCAGTCTAGATGGGATCTTGCGGAAAATAAGCCCTTTTCCGCAAGATCCCTTATTCCTACTTTCAAGTAGGAATAAGCGATCTTCCGGAAAAGGGCTTATTTTCCGGAGAATCACGTCTAGACTGGTGCTTTTCTCTGGCAAAACCCCGAGCCGGAAAAAAGCAGCAGCCATGTTCACGGGGTTTTGCTGGAGAAAAGCGCCAGTCTAGATGGGATCTTGCGGAAAATAAGCCCTTTTCCGCAAGATCCCTTATTCCTACTTTCAAGTAGGAATAAGCGATCTTCCGGAAAAGGGCTTATTTTCCGGAGAATCACGTCTAGACTGGTGCTTTTCTCTGGCAAAACCCCGAGCCGGAAAAAAGCAGCAGCCATGTTCATGCAAATGCCGCGGGGGATATTTAAATCCCCGGGGCATTTGCAATTCCGACTGGTCTCATTAGCATCCCTTTTCCGGAAAGGGGTGCCAATGTAGACACAGCCCTCATGGGTGTAATGGAGGGGAAAAACAAGTCTCTGGAACTGAAAGGCCTCTGAAGCTAAATCTCTCCCACTTCTATAGCTCTCTGGGCTTGGCTCTGTTTTATCCCCCATCTTGGCTTGGGTGTTCAAGGTCCATTAGCCCAGGACAGCAGTGGAGTCCACGTAGGCTGCAATTCACTGGTGACATTCATCGTTGAGTTTGCTGGGGCTGGCAGCTGCAGCCCCGTGTGAACAGAGCCACATCAGTCTATGCCAGGGGAGGGGGGAAACACGCAGTCTGGGGTAAATAGCTGATGGGCTTTCAGCCAGTGCTAAGGTGGGGGGGGGGGGGAGACCTCTGTTAGAAAGGCCTTTTATCAGCTGAGCAGGGGTAAAGAATCCCTGATCCCAGTAGACGTGGCAAGAGCTCACACTAAGATCCCAAGGCTGGAATGGGGAGGTAGGTTCCACCAAGGGCTCGGGTGGGGGGGAAGAGGGCTGCAGTCTGGCATGCTGGGATGGGGGTAAATAATGCTGCATGAGAGGGAGGGCGAGGGGCACCAACGGCCTTGACCTGGTGGATGGAGGCGTAACCCCCCCCCCCCCCGAGCCTCGCGCTCCCCTTGTGTTTTGCAATCACCAAATGACGCAGGAAAAAACAGGAAGAGGAGGGGGGAGAACAGGTCAGGCGGGAGGGGAGGGGAGAAGCCCTAAGCCCGGCTAGCCCAGCAGAGAAAGCAGCAACTGAAACCTGCTGCCCAAGCCCCAGGAGAATTTTCCAGCCCCCAAATTGGCCAGGGCCCCACTGCTGCTCTGCCAGGCTGGCGTGCTGCAGGGCGGTGGGGTTTGCCTCTCCTCCAGCTGAATTCCCTGCTCCCCGGGCTGCCCACAGGTACTTCGGCGTCTGCTTCTACCTGCTCATGCTGGTCATGGTGGAAGGCTTCGGCGGGAAGGAGGCCCTGCTCGCCGCGCTGAAGGACACGCCCATGGCGATCAGCACCGGGCCCTGCTGCTGCTGCTGCCCCTGCTGCCCACGCATCACCATGACCAAGTGAGGCAACCGGGCAGGGCCTGGGGCGGGGCTGGCTGGGAGGAAAGCTGGCTCCCCAGCCCCTTCCCTGGACGAGAAGCCGGGCGCTGGCTAGAGCAGCTTCCCCAAGAGGTGCCCCGAACCCCTCTCCCGCTCTGGAGGCGCACGGCCCGCTGCCTGCACGTGGCTGGGCTCTGCTGGCACGGCCCCCAAAGGAGGGAAGGGGCGACCGACGGCTCCAATCCACCCGTGCGCGCCCGCTCTGCTGGCTGGATCCCAGGGCAGGCGGGGGGTTAGCCACGGCCACGCCTCGCCAGTGCACAGGGACTGCCTGCCCATGTCCCTTCTGCCTGCCCAAGCGGACCCAGTTGTCACCCCGGGAACCCCCTTAGAGCAGGGGGCGCCCCTGGGGCCCAGTCCAGCCATCATGCAGCCCACGTGCCACAACCCCAGACGCTCGACTGACTGAGGCACCAAGGAGAGCAGGGACCACCCTGCTGCCCAGCTAGTGCCACGGCTGGATCCCACAGGCCAGTGAGTCTCTACCTCCAGCCCCTGCCCCAAAACAGTCACTGTCTGCCACCGCTGCACACACCTTGTTCCCAGGCTGTTTCCCTACCTTCCATTTCCAGCCGGGGGCCATGGGGGACGTCTCTCGGCTAGCCACGCAGCTGAGATCCGTCCCCCACGGAGACCACATGGACCAGGCTGGGGCTGAGCCATATACGACAAACCTACGGGCGTTCGAGAGCTGGGACCTGCCTGCTGGGGCTCAGGGCTTCTGCCCCATTTGTGCTGAATCCCCAAGCCCAGCCGGGGGGCTGCGGGGCAGAAGCCCCTACCCCAGCACCAGGCTGCAAGGCTGAGCTCTCCCTCCGCCAGGCAGATAGGTGGAGAATGCAGGCAGCGGGCGGGGTAGGAGCTACCCGTTTGGCTGGCCCTGGGCGTGACTGTGCTGGTGCTGAGCCCAGCCTGCTTCTGCCATTTACCAGCCGCCTCTTTGGGCTCCCGCCCCGGCTGCCATGCGGATTGGGAGGAGCCCCCTCAAATCCCTGCATTCTCCTCCGCCATCGGGCCCCTCCCTCCTACTTGCCTTCGCTGCGATACCTACAAAAAGCGTGAGCCGTCTTGGCTCAGTTTCCTTTCTCCCCTCCATCGGTCTGTACCTAGCCGTTGTCTGGCCTCGTACGGAAACTGTCCGCGCTCTGGCGCAGGGGCCGGCTTTTGGTCTGGGGTTTGTCCAGCACCTAGCACCACGGGGTGCAGCCTAGGACGAGGGCTGCCAGGTACCCCCCCAAGTCAAACGCAAGGTGTAGGACGATTCACAAGGCAAGGTCCCTGCTCCAGGAGGCTGCGTGCAGCCTAGGACGAGGGCTGCCAGGTACCCCCCCAAGTCAAACGCAAGGTGTAGGACGATTCACAAGGCAAGCCCCCAGCCCCGAGAGGCTGCCAGCCAAGTCCCTGCGGGGCCAGTGCCAGGGAAGGGCTGTTACAGGATGGGGTTTGCATTTCTGGGAGGGGGATCAAAGGGGCTGTTGGAAGAGGTAAGAAGCAGGCCCGGGAGGCTGGGATCAGCAGTTTTGGGCTCCGGCTTGCAGGGCACTCCAGTGTCATTTGACAGTCTGTTCTGCTGTCCTCGCCGGGGCCTGAGGGCAGGGCCAGGTGGCAAGGGGAGACAGGCCGGGTAAAACACAAACACACAAGGAAGACACTCTGGGGCCTGGCGCTGTCACGGACGTCTTGCTCTGTTGTCGTCGTAGGAGGAAACTTAAACTCTTTCTTCTGGGCACTTTCCAATTCGCCTTCCTCAAGACGGCCAGCGTCTTCGTGGGGCTGGCCCTGGCTGCAGATGGGAACTACGATCCGGCCGATGTAAGTCCAGACCCTTCCCCCAGCAAAGCGGCTGCTCTGTTGATGAGGGACTTGCCCTGGTTGGGCTCGCTGGGCTGCAAGAGTAGCTGTGTCCCTGAAGGCAGGGGGCCCTGGGTCGAGTGGGCGTGGAAAGCAGGGCACACAAGGGGCAGTGAGGCCAAGGAGGCCGGCAGGGGAGAAAAGCCAACCTGGCATAGCTTCCACCTGGCAGCAGGGGGTAGGAGAGAGGAGTTGGGTGCCAGCTGAGCCCTACCCCTGTCTCGGGGCCACCGTCACAGCTACAGCAGGGTGACGGGGTCCCTGGCTGAGCATGGCAGGTGGTGGGACAGCAAGTTGAGGGGACGGCTGTCTCGCTCCAAGTCTCCATCTCTCCCATGCCCAAGGGTTTCAAGGCAGCATGTGTGTGCCCCACCCTGGACACAGCACAGCCCTCCTAGCCTGGCCTGGAAATCCCACCCATGCTGCTTTCGCTTCTGTCTCGCCCAGATCTCAGCTCAGAGCGTGGCCCTCTGGATTAACACCTGCCTGGGGTTCTCCACCCTCTTTGCGCTGTGGGCCCTTGGGATCCTGTTCCGCCAGGCGAGGGTGCATCTGAAAGAGCAGAACATGGGGGCCAAGTTCGTTTGTTTCCAGGTAACGTTGCTTGGGGGGTGGGGAAGAGAGCACCGTTAGCAGTTTCCTGGCTGCAAAGGGGGCTTCTGTTTGGTGTTGTGAACCGGGGCCTTCCAAGTTTCCTTTACCCCACACGTGCAGCCTGCCACGTCCTGGCAGGTGGCTACCCCACAGCTGGCTGCCTCTCGCTTCTCCTGTCTTGAAACTACCTCCTCATCTCAAGAACATGAGTCTTCAGGTGCAGAACGAGGACAGGACCGGCTCAATGTCTTCCCCACAAGTAGCCCTGCCACCAGCAATGTGAGCAAGCAGCAGCAGGACAGAGGGGGGTGGATTGAGACAGATACATCTGTCATGGGGTCCTTCACCTGCTTGGCTAGAATCACAGAACACGAGCCCTGGAAGGGCCCCCGAGAGGTCATCGAGGCCAGTCCCTGCCCTCACCTGGCACAGAAAAGGCAGACACGGAAAAGGAACAGGATATAAAAATGGAGAAACTGAGAGATTCCTTTGAGCAAGCAGGGATTTAATTAAAAAAAAAGATACAAGAAGGGCAAGAATGGTGGATGGAGAAGAAATGGGGAAGAAGATTCTATGAAGTCTCTGGCAAGGGCAGAGGATAAGGCGCTACTCGAAAGTTACAGCAGGCTCAGTGAGGGACTCGTCTTCCGACTTAACTCCTCGCTGTAGTTTGAATAATAATTTCTAGCTAGCGACTAGACTCAAAGCTGGGCAGTGTAACACCTGCAGGGCGCAAGAAACAGTTCCTCACCTGAGATGGGGATGTAAGGCGCATGCCTGGGAAAGACTGTATCAGGACAGTAGGCTAACAGTACGAGTCCCTCTGCTCCTTGAGCTAGGGAGGCCAAGCGTATGGAGGCAAGTGACTAGGTAAAACGAGAAAGTTACCATTGATAAGGATGGGGCGAGACACTGGATACTGGCAGGACCAAGGCAGAAGGGGAGGAGAAAGGGATGGGGTTAAAATCAGTGTGTCCCATGGAGGCGAGACAGGGTAGGGCTTGTCTACATTGGGAAACCGACCTGCAGATTTACACCTCCGCAGCTAGGCCACTCTGTGTGGAGACACTGCTCCAGTCTAAGTGACTACTGTCACGTCAAACCGCTCTGATGGCTTTCTTTGATAGGATAACAAACCCTGTGGACAAGGGCAGCGGGGAAGCGGTAGATGTGGTATATCTGGACTTTAGGAAGGCATTTGATACAGTCTCACATGAACTTTTCATTAAACTAAGGAAATAGAAGCTAGATGGGGCTACTATAAGGTGGGTGCATAATTGGCTGGATAACCGTTCCCAGAGAGTAGTTCTCAATGGTTCACAATCATGCTGGAAGGGCATAACAAGTGGGGTTCTGCAGGGATCTGTTTTGGGTCTGGTTCTGCTCAATATCTTCATCAACGATTTAGATAAAGACTTTGGGTGTGTCTAGACTACAGGGTCTTTAAAAAAAAAAAGTGGCCTTTTTTCAAAAAAACTTCCCCTGTATCTAGACTGCTGCCACATTCTTTCAAAAGTAAATTGAAAGAACGCGGCAGTTTTTTTCAACCACAGAAAACCTCGTTTTACGACGAAGAACGCCTTTTTTCAAAAGTGCTCTTTCGAAAAAAGGCGCTATATAATGCAAACTGTACTTTTTGAAAGAGCATCCAGCCTGCCTGGGTGCTCTCTCGAAAAAGCGGCTTGCTTTTTCAAAAGTACTGGTTGTAGTCTAGATGCTCTTTTTCAAAAGAGGCTTTTTCAAAAGTATCTTTCAAAAAAGCTTCTTTCAAAAGAGGCTTGCAGTCTAGACATAGCCATAGAGAGTACAATTATAGAGTTTGCAGATGATCCCAAGCTGGGAGGAGTTGCAAGTGCTGTGGAGGAAGGGCCATAATTCAAAATGATCAGGACAAACTGGAGAAATGGTCTGAGGTAAATAGGATGATGTTTAATAAGGACAAATGCAAAGTGCTCCACTTAGGAAGGAACAATCCGTTTCACACATACAGAATGGGAAGCGACTAGAAAGGAACACTACAGAAAGGGATCTAGGGGTCAGAGTGGACCACAAGCTAAATAGGAATCAACAGTGTGACGCTGATGCAAAACCAAACAAACATGATTCTGGGATGCATTAACAGCAGTGCTGTAAACAAGACACAAGAAGGCCTCAACTGGATTATTGTGTCTAGTTCTGGGTGACATTTCAGGAACAATGTGAAGAAATTGCAGAAGATCCACAGAAGAGCAACAAAAATGATTCAAGCTCTAGAAAACATGACCTAGGAGGAATGATTGAAAGAACCGGGCTTGTTTAGTTTAGAAAAGAGAAGTCTGAGAGGGGACATAACAGCTTTCAAGTATCTAAAAGAGTGTCACAAGGAGGAAGGAGAAAAATTGTTCTTCTTGGCCTCTGAGGATCGGACAAGAAGCAACGGGCTTAAATTGCAACAAGGGAAGTTGAAGTTAAAAACTTCCTAACTGCCAGGGTGGTTAAACACTGGAATAAATTGCCTAGGGAGGTTGTGGAATCTCCATCACGGGAGATAACGAGCAGGTTAGATGGACATCTCTCACGGGTGGTCTAGACAGTGCTTGGTCCTGCCATGAGGGCAGGGGACTGGACTCGATGACCTCTGAGGTTCATTCCAGGTCTATGATTCTATTCCAGTAGGATTGCTGCGCTGGTCTAGGGCTGCTGCTTGACTTGCACATACAGAAAAGGCCTAAGTCACAGTAAAGCTGGCAGGGATTGCAGAGGTGGGGTGTTTGAACAGAATGGGTGGAGGAGGCACGAGGTTTGTCTAGTTTTTCCAGGTGTAAATGGAAACCATTGAACTTCCCACTCTTTGTCCCCCATTTGCCTCAACGCCAACCCATGAGCTGTTTGGGGATCCCTCATGTTTGCTGTCAGCTCTCTCATGCCTACTGCTTCTGGTCCCAGATGCTCCTCATCCTGTCTACGGTGCAGCCAGCCATCCTCAGCATCCTGGGCAACGGCGGACAGATCGCCTGCTCCCCGCCACTGTCCTCCAAGACGAGGTCACAGCGTGAGTACCGAGCAGCTCTGGTCCCACTTAGCAGAGACAATTGAAGGAAGAAAACGGGCCCAGGACAGCAGTCGGCCCCTCTCTGCACAGCCCAGATGGGCCAAACATATTTTCACCCACCACCTTTCTTTAAAATAGGAGATGCTCCTTTTATGGGCATTCGGTGCAGGGATGTAGAATTGCCGTCTTCCCATTGCGACACAGCAAAGACCACGGTCCATTGTACCGCCGTGACGCAGCACACTCGGCATACGTCCACTCGGCATACGTACCTTTGCTCACCAACAAAAACCAGCCTTTTGACGTACTGCATCCAGTTCTAAGCCCCCCACCACCACAGAAAGGATGTGGACGCATTGGAGAGAGTCCAGTAGAGGGAAACCAAAATGATGAGGGGGCTGGAACACATGATCTATGAGGAGAGGCTGAGGGATTTGGGCTTGTTTAGTCTGCAGAAGAGAAGAGTGAGGGGGGATTTGAGAGCAGCCTGCAACTCCCTGAAGGGGGGTTCCAAAGAGGATGGAGAGAGGCTGTTCTCAGTGGGGGCAGGTGGCAGAAGGAGGAGCGATGGTCTCAAGTTGCAGTGGGGGAAATCTAGATTGGATATTGGAAAAAACTATTTCCCTAGGCGGGTGAGGAAGCGCTGGGCTGGGTTCCCTGGGGAGGGGGTGGAATCTCCATCTCTAGAGGTTAAGTCCTGGCTTGACCAAGCCCTGGCTGGGATGACTGAGTTGGGGTCGATCCTGCTTTGGGCAGTGGGGCTGGACTCGATGACTCCTGAGGTCTCTGCCAGCCCCGGGATTTTATGATTCTAAGTGGAAATGGTCAGTTGAGTCAGTCCAATGGCCGGTGTGTTTTCCCTCCTCTGGTGAATTTCTTAAGCCAGCTTCTCTTCAGCACTCTTGTAAAAGCAGGACTGCATTGCCTGCGGGACTTGGTCCCTGCCTTGGGTGAGCGACAAGGCAGTAACTAGGCCTTCCTCCCTAGCTAGGCATAGTCTCTGCTCACTTGAAGGGAAGTGAAATTCTACTTCCGTAAACAGCAAATTAACCCCAGAATCAGATATTTTGACCCCTCATTTGGCAACTGCTGGGAGCTAGTGAACGCTGATAACATGCCGCTTGAAACCCCACCATTGTCCTGGCTGTGAGCGACTGGGAAACACACTCAGGAAAGGCGCATCAACTAACTCCTCCCCCTCGTGATGTATATTCCAGACATGAACATGCAGCTGCTCATCTTGGAGACCTTCATCCTCACGGTGGTGACCCGGATGTACTACCGAAAGAAGGACGACAAGGCAGGCTACCAAGCTTTCAGCCCGCAGAATGGGAACATGGAAATCAAAGCTTAGAGAGGAAGCAGCGCTGCCAGAAAGGAGTTTCTGGCACAAGGAGCTTTTCCCCCATTGCCAAAACACGTTTCCTCTGCAACTTCAAGAGGATAGAATATTTCCCTAGGTAGCTTGAAGCTTCATTTGGCAAGTCGCCTATAGGAGTTGACATCCAGATGGTAGATGGGTCTGAAATCCAAAGGATACCTACCAGAGTTTCTGTAAATTAGCCGCTTAGTGCAGGGACATGGTCTGTACAGTGCCTAGCGCACCTCAGGTGCTGGATAAATACAGAATAAACGATTCAGGCACTTCGGCTCGGCTCACTGCTGTGAAGACAAATACTGCTGTTTCCTTTAAGCCTCCCTTTGAGGACAAACGTGGGCCAAAACGTTGCCTCCTCTGGTCTCCAAAAGAGCTGAGGGGGTCGGAGCTTGGCTGCCACTTCCCTTGTTTAGCTGAAGAGGGATATTCCAACACTGGGGCGCACAAATGCACCAACGCCCTCAGGAGACGTGCAGCCCTCTGTACAAACGAGTCGCCCCACCTGTTCGCTTCAAGTGTGGAAACATCAGGACTTGTCACCGTTAGAGCACTGCTCATTGGAGGTCTTCAGAGAGAGGGGTCTTACTACCCCAGTTTGTGGGAAAGCAAACACTCCGATGGCCTGAGTGAGTTGTCCAGGTCTCGGGATGTTAGAAAGCGGGTAAGAGAATAGACAAGTAACCACATGCATTTCTATTGGTTAGTCGACTATTCTATAGTCCCTGGGGGCGGGGCCGACTGCCAGTGCGCGCCAGCCCCATTCCCGAGGAGCCCCCTGCTGCCACCTCTGTATTAAAGGCAGCAGCACGGGGTGCCAAGCAGAAGCCTATCTGCTAGGGGAGTCAGTTTAAAAACCAGCTTTTCACGCAGACTATCTGCTGCTGTCCTGCACTTCCACCTCGAATACAGAGGCAGCAGCGTGGGGTTGCAACAGCCCCTGTCCTCGGGTTGGTTTGAGATCCCCACGGGCAGATAGCAGCCTCTGCCCATGGCAAGCCTGGGGTCCTGGCTCGCCGCAGGCAGACGCTGCTCTGCAGGAGGCGGAGAAGCCTCTGTCTTCAGGGAGCTAGGAACCTGCAGCTGACAGGGGCTGCTGCCGCGAAGCAGTTTCTGCCTGCACCAGGCCCAGGCTCGCTGTGAGCAGAGGCTGCTTCGTGGCAGCCTCCCCTGGCATCCCTCCATCCTCCCCTGGCATCCCTCCATCCACCTGCTGCCTCTGATAGAGGCAGCAGCATGTGGGAGAGGGGGCAGGAGGCCCAGCAGATCTGGTGCTGGGAAGAACCGGCTTTTAAGGGAAGCTTTTAAGCCAGCACAGGCTCCTGCTTCCCTCTCCTTGCTGCCTCTGATAAAGAGGCAGCAAGGGGGAGGGGGAATGCAAGTAGGCGAGAAGATGAACCAATAAGCCTAGGCTTATTGGTTAATCGTACATTCGACTACTCGTTTACATCCCTATCAGACACAGAACAGAGAACCCAGGTGTCCTGACTCCAAGGCAGGTCTGTGTTCCCTTGGCTGCTGCTGCCACTTTTCTGACTGCAAAGCAAACAAGGCATAGACTGTATGTCCCCTCTGCTTGTAGGGAACAGAGCAGCTGCCAGGCTGGAATTAAAGAGCAGCTTTGCCCTAGCTGAGCTGTAGAATACAGTCTTAAGTAACTGGTAAAGCAAAGTGGCATGAACGAGAGCAATACATGGCACATTTGGTCAGTAGCTCTGTGCCAGTTTCGCATATCAAAGGGGAACTGGTGGGAAATCGATGAAGAAAGGCCGTGACTTCAGGAGTTTTCTGGGCATGGTTTTACCTTGGATCTTTTCAATATGGGACGGCAGAACTGGAAATCTAGGGAGATTAAACCCACTCAAATTAAGGAGAGAAAATATCTGGCACTGTTTGACAAGGGTTGGGTAAAATTTCTTTGCATTTATTTGGCTAAACATAAAAGCCAAAAACCAACTTGGAACAAGCCAGTAACACATGTACACAGAGAAACCGATACAGTTAACATTGATTGAGGGGAGACGCACCCTAATGAGAGGAGTGAAGCACCACACCGGTGTGTTTCATGTTCGACAGCACACGTCCCTGCTAAGACAACAAAATCTGAGAGTCCCATCTTGGTGCTCTAGAATGTCAGACAACTTGGGGTAGGATTTGAAAGTCCCATGTTCAGCCCTAAAATCTGATCCACCACCCCAGAGCTCAGTTTACAATCGTAAAACCTTATCCGGCGGCACTTTCATAACAAGGTAAGTGACGTTTCAGTGAACAGAAAAAACTAACTTTTTTTAAAAAAAATCAGGAATTTAAAATGAATTCCAAACCCCACATTGTTCCATCTTCTGTGTGTTTTGGAAAATCTAAGCATTGATCTCATCCCAAGACACCCCCCTCCCCCCAAAAAAACAACTCTTCTGGTCGAATTTCATTCCAGTGGCAGCATTTTAGAACATTAAATTGACATGAGTTACAAAACGGCCAAGTTTCACACAGTTGGCTATGCTCTTGTGACAGATGATGCATTACGGAGAACTAACTCTCTATGGCTTTCTAGGAGTCAAGCAGCAGTCGTGGCAACCACATGTTCGATGTACGGACCACGTGCAATCATAGGATTCTGTCCCTGCACTGGATAGGCTGTCCCCCATTCTATATAGGAAAGGCAGGCAGGGGATCTGAACACCATTAAAAAGTCCCAAGAAACAGCCCCTACGGTGGGGTTGCATACAAGCTTCCGGCACCAGGTGCCCACCCCAGCATGTTCCATGTAGAGTTACAAAGAGGAGGGAAAGAACGTTAGACACATTAACTGTGCTAGCTTCAAGTTACAGATGGACCCGACCACACTTTCTACGGAGGGCTGGGTTTAAATCATTTTGTTAGAGAGTTTAGTCCCATAAAACTTTGAGAGACGGGTTCCACTTTTCTGCCACGAGCTCCCGAAACTGTCTGGGGAAGCCCCAACTCAGATGCTATTGAACGTCAGTATCACAGCTTCTTAGAGTCCACGCAATCGTAACAGAAGCAGGGCACCGCACCTTTCAGCGTCACTGCACTGCCCCTCTGCCCCACACGGCCTTCGTAATGGCTTGCCTTCAAAGCCAGCCGCCGCACGCATCAGACTGGAGGTTGTTCGAAGCCGCGTCTCATACCGTCTGGCAGAAATTGACCCACCTGCTCAAGTAGCTCCAGGTTCCTCTTACTGCAGCAAATTCTCCATGGAGATTGTTCTCTTAACGTGGGAAAAGCTGGGGTTTCTCTTACGCATCTACTCCGCCACTTCCTCGGGAGGGCTTGAGTGCAAGCAGCCCTCTTCTGACACTCATTAGCAGCTGTACCAATGGAGGAGGGGTGCCTTTAGGTCAGGCTCAGCAGAGAAGCACAGAATGATTATGTCAAGTGATTATGGTGAGGTAAAACCCTGGGAAACCATCCTGTCCCTTCTGCCCCCCCATCGCCATGGGGAACTTTGCTATGCTGAGGGTACATTATGCTGTGCGGATGAAGGGCTTCTGGCACTCAGCCACATGCAGCAATGTGCGCTAGATGTGAGCTACAGACACCGATGCCGTCTCTCTAAAAGCCTTGACCAACACCCTGATTTGGGATGGGCGTGTCCCCTTTAATTTGCCAAGTGCAAGGAGGAAGCAGGGCTTGTGGGGTACAAGGAGGAAGCAGGGCTTGTGGGGTACAAAGAGGAAGCAGGGCTTGTGGGGTACAAGAAATGGCTTCGATATTCCTAGTTAAAGGCAATCAACATGCCCTGGCTGCACAAGGGACCCCATCTGTGTACAGAAACCACGCAGTAGCTTCCCTGTGCAGGATCGCCCACCGGAATGACTGGGCATCGCAAATGCTGCCGTCACCCAACGTGAGGGAGTGCCGTTCACTCCCCGTGTTTAATGTGACCATCAATCCCCCGTGCTGCCCAGTCTAAAGGTTGTGAGCAGGTAAGGAAATAGACCATTTGTGGAAGTAGGGGGTGTCGACGGATACATCATCACGTAAGCGGGAGAGTTACGTGTGTGTCTTCTACCATTCAGATGCCAAGACATTAAGAATGGTTTGGATCTCACCATTCTCGGGCTGCCTCAGAACAAAACCGAGCGCTCCCTAAAGCTCATCTACGCAGGATCAAACCTTCCCAGGGCTCGCCCTGCAGGGCGGAATCGCTCACACTGGGGCAAAGGGAAACCAAAGCCTTCCTTCCTTTTGACCAGCTCTGGGAATACAAGGGTGGGCGAAGAATCAGTGCCACCGAGCCTGGTGGAGGACGAGAGTCTCTGCCAAGCCGTGCAGGTGGCATGTCAAAGAAGAGCTGGACAAAAGCCATCCCTTTTATGTACAGGACGGCCTTGTTCTATAGAAGCGTATTAGGATGCCTCTAGCGCCTTCCTCTTAGTCTCCACAGAATCCTTGGTTCTCAGTTCATCTATCACGGATTTTAAGACTTGCAGGCCTGGCCCACGGGACTCAACCTGACCTCACTCACTGCAGCATTCAAGGAAGCTCTTTCCAAACAGGAGATGGTGGCAAGCAAGCTCGGGCACAAAGCAACTTTGGGAGTTTCATGGCTGTGGAGATGACAGCTCCTCCCCCCGACGGCTGGCTTCTAGGATAGAGTGTCTTCCAACAAGACCCCCCCCACCTGCCCGCCCAAATGACGTCCCTTGGGCACACGCAGTGCATGGCACTCAATGCCTGACACGAGGCCACAGATCTTACCAAAGCACAACATAAACATTCGTTACATAGTTCACAGCACAGCGTCATTGGACCACAATTTCAAACAGTTAAAAATAGTGGCAGTTTCCTTTGATGCTATTTCTGCGCTCCCAAGAAACAGCTAACGGAGAGAGGCACCAGCATTTACTGCACAAATGATTTGACATCACTGTTTGCTGGGGTAACGTACGCCCAGCAGCTATCCCACTGCACACATCAAAACGAGGACAGACTTGGCCACAAACATTCTGAAAAGCTCTCTTTGCCCGAGCGAGGTCACAGCTCTCCCTCCCTCAGCGCCCAATCATGTAAACAAATATATGGACACGTGCAAGGCAGAGCACCCAGAGCGGATGTTTCGACAGACAGTCCTACATGCAGAACCCCAGAGATCAGGGGGAGGTGTGAAGGTGGGAGGACTTTTTGGAAGGAGCTGGCATATTTGTTATTGCCTGGCTGCGTGTATGTGCACACAAAGACACAACGCACGTCTGGAAAGAAGAGACGATAGTCTTTCCTCAAACACCAACTGATGAGCAAAACAAGGTTCTTAGCCTGAGATTTAGTGATTCTTGTAGAGGCCCGAATGGCTGATGGAATATTCTAAGACAGCAATTTCCTTGCAGAGTCAGGTGAGAGTTGTCTGCAGGGTGCAGGGATACCGGACATTACTGAATAGCCTGTGACCAATTCTACGGTGGTGTGGCTTCTCATATGGTGAATTTTCCGTGCAAAAAACATGTGGCATGTTTCCACTATGGCACAATGGGAGCCTCAGTAAAAAGAAGCAAGATCAAGATGCAGACAGCTCGGTAGGTTCTTATTGGTTCCAGTACAGCACGGACGTCTCTTTAGAATTAAAAAATAGCTCGTCGATGCTACCACTTCCCGCACAGTCTCAAAGTTCACACCATTCGAGGGCCTGGCATATGCATCATTCAAGAGATTCAGCAGCAATGAAGAATCCTGCCTCGGGGTAATAAAAGGCAGCCGTGGGCCAAAGCAGCAGACAGACGAAAGGGTCCGATGAACTCTTCTCCCCACACCGACCTTACCCTGCCTGGCTGAGGCATAACAAGGCAAAGCCTTCAGGGCCACTCTCTTTAAAATACTTTTTTTTTTTTTTTAAAAGAAGAAAATAAAACCCACTTTTCTCTTGGAAACCATTGGAACGTAAACACTAAAAAGGGGCCGGGGGCAGGGAGAACGTTTGACTGTGCTTCCCAGACAGCAGCCCTTGCTTGGAGCAGACGGTGCCTCTTGGAGGGGCGTCTGCAGCCACGTGACTTTTGCTCTCTCGTTTAATGTTCCCCTTGGGGTAGGAGCTTGAATTCGGCTCTCAGCAATTCAGTGCCTCCAGCTGGCTGCCTAGTCCTCCTCGTCCTCGCTGATGTCGTAGGCAACGGCGCACTGGTTCCTGGAGCGGTTGGCTGGAGAGGAGGGAGGGGTCTTGGTGGAGAAGGGCCAGCGGAAGGAAGGAGAGGGGGAGCGCTCGTGCGTCGGGCTGCTGCTGGGGCTCTGCTTCGGGCTGATCGCTTGCAACATCCGGCCTTTGCCCTCCTTCAGCATGTGCTTCTAGCGCAGGGAGGGAGAGAGGAGAGAGATTAACCACATGGCTGGTGACACGTCAGGTGATGGGAATGGGCGCCGGAGCCAGCATATGGCTGCTCCGGCCCATGGCACCTACAGCTTTGTGGTAGCTGTACCAGCCCAACGTCCATCAGTGCAAGCACTGACAGTTGTAGGTCACAGGACGCGTCACAGAACGGGGAGTGCGCCAGTTCAGAACAGCGATGGAAAGTTTCCGCTCCCCCATGGCCACTCGGTGACTAGTGTAAAACGAGTTGGAGGGGTCAGGCCAACTCCCAGGGAATCGGTGCTCGGAAATAAAGTCACCGTGGCCACCAGGACTAAGTGGCATCCACGTTGGTCATCCCAGACAGGCCAACGGCATCCTCAAAGACTGAGCAACTGTCTAGGCCTCTAGCAAGGCCCCCACATGGCGCATGCTGGTGGAGAAGGGCTGGGAAGGAAGCCGGCAGTGTGGTAGTGCTGTCCTTAGCTAGGGGGCTTCCCTCTGGAAAGCTATCACAACTGCACCTTCCAGAAGCAGGAAAGTTTACCAGGACGATCCCTCGCCCACCCCACCTTTGCTCCCCCTCTCCAGGGTGAATTTGTTACCAGTGCTCCTTCGGGTCCAAACATCTCCAGGAAGTTGCCGATGAATTCCCGGGATTTCTCCTCCCATTTCTGAATGAGGTCAATGCTCTTTTCCTCCACTTTCTGGACAAACTCCTTCGATTTCTCCTCCACGTCCTTCACCCTCTTTTTCACTTTGTCCACACGTTCCTGCAGGTGATATTTCTTCTCCTGTAGAAGCGAACACCACAGGGGGAAGGGTTAGGACATGGGGCATTTCGATTTTCACCTGTCCCACAGGCAGGTAACTTCCACTTTTTAGGATTTAAAAGTGTGAAGATAATTTTCTGGTACTAATACAAACTTCATTGGGCCTACAGCTGAGCAGCCAGAGTTTCCTGGACACAACAGCTACAGCTGGGAACGGATGACGTTTCAATCAAAAATACCAATTCCCCTCTGCAAGCCGCATCTCCCACTTTCACAGCGCAATACGACTGGCAGAAACAGACAATCTAGCAAAGATCTGCATTGCAATTTCCTAGCTCTGAGTCTTCTATGAAGAATTTAAAGGGGAAAATGAGCTGACAAGACTGTGCGTGGGACCACTGAGCCCTGCAAATGTATTATTAGTTATTTGTATTGCAGACTTTCCCAGAGGCCTTGGTCAGGGTCAGGCTCCCACTGTCCTGGGTGACGCACATGCCTACGGTACAGACACGGTCCTTGCCTTGGAGCGTTAACAGTCTAACACATCGAGACTCACGTTTATGAAGCTGACGTTCAACTCCTTGGCCGTGTACCCCCTCTGCAGGTTCCGTCTGGCATAGACATCATAGTCCCGTACAATCCGGGTGATTATATCGGATGTAGAGATCCCTTCGGTCCTCTGAGTTGGTGCAAACATGCCTACGACCAGGGGAATGGAACCCAGCGCAGTTGTCAGTCGGATGGAAGGTGAGGAGCTGCTCCTGACTCAGCACAGAGGCTGGAGCATTTCACAGGCGCTCAAAGCTCATCCCCTGCTTCCTGTAGGTTTATTCGTATCCCAATTGGCCCCGTGTTCTGTATTTTGATCCTTGAAAGCTGCCCCGTTCTGGTGCCCCCAATTCACAAAGGGTCAAAAGCCGGGAGGGTTGAGAGGAGCCAGGAGAAGGAGAGACGGAAGGAGCTCAGCTACGTAGCTTATCAAAGAGCAACTTCAGGAGTGATTTGATTAAGTACCTGGCTGGGGAACAGCAATATGACTGCAGACGGCTCTTTAGTCTAGCAGACAAGAGTCAATGGCTGGAAGGCGACGCTAGAGCCATACAGACTAGAAATCAAGTGCAATTTTTTTTTAGACAGTGAGAGTTAAATGACTCTTGCTATAATTAACCGCTGGAGCTGTTCATCAAGGCATGGGGCGGGGGAGGGGAAGAGAAGGGGGGGATTTTCCATCCCTGGCCATTTTTTCAAATCAAGAAAGGAGGTTTCTCTAAAGGATCTGCTCACAACGTCTGGACCTAGGGTCTATGCAAACAGCTCAGCAAGCGTAACAGGCCTGAAGCCCACACTCAGAGGCACCTGCGCCATGAATCAGGGCGGCACAGGAGTGTGAGATCAGCTAGCTACAGCGGCAGGACCAAGGCAGCAGAGCACAAGTCAAGGTACAATTCCATGGGCTTCTGTTACCTGGCTCGCCCAAAGGGACTGACGTCTGGACCTAGGGTCTATGCAAACAGCTCAGCAAGCGTAACAGGCCTGAAGCCCACACTCAGAGGCACCTGCGCCATGAATCAGGGCGGCACAGGAGTGTGAGATCAGCTAGCTACAGCGGCAGGACCAAGGCAGCAGAGCACAAGTCAAGGTACAATTCCATGGGCTTCTGTTACCTGGCTCGCCCAAAGGGACTGAGTCCATAAAGGATGTAGGGAGACACAAGCAAGCCCCCAACACACCTCACACTTCATGTGCCCCCCAAAACGCGACCTTCAGCCTTGGAGAACTGAACACGCCTTATAGAGGGCAGGGTGGTGGCAGCAAAAACTTTCTTTTCCTTCCCACAAAAAAGGCCCAAAGTGTATGGCGCAGCCAGCTGACTGGATGGGAATCTGGGTTTGTCAGACTGAGTGAGCCATGAGGGCCAAGTATTGTGCTGGAAGGTGGGCTCCGATTCTCCACCCACACCTCCTTTGCTGGATCACTACAGTTATCTGCTATTTCAGAGAGCGGATGCGTCTGCCTGCATGGCTGTTTGTTCAAGAACTTATCAACGGGAAGAGCCAGGACCTCCAAATGTGGGAGGCAGCTCCCTCTTACCCTAACTTACAGCGAGGTCGGGGTCTGGTTGTGCCAGGACAATGGGATGTGCCTGGAATGAAATTGTTTTGCATCAAACGGAAAGGGAGGGGTGTGATAGCAGGGACAGTTACGCTCACGAATGACCACAGGAGGAGCAGCTGCTGGTGGGCAGCACAGCCCTGCCACCCCAACCTGCCTTAGGGAGCAGCTGCCGCATGTCCTCTGTCACACCGGGCCACCGCTGAGCGCAGCTCCTGCGGTTCTGGGCCAGCTCTGGGGAGATGCCAATGGGCAGCATGCATGGCTCCCACAGACCCTGGGGAGAAGCTGGTGGGTAGCCTGCATTCCCCTGCTGCCAGCTGTCCTGGGAAGAAGCCACTGGGTGGGATGTGCAGCCCCCAGACCCGGGCAACACCATAAGCCTTCTACTTTAGTATAAAACGGAGGGGGTGGGAAGCTGACCAAAAGCTGGGTTCTAAATGAAGAGGCGCTCTGCTCCTGAGCTATGGGGATGAATGAATAGACCAGCCAGACTAGTAAACAGTAGCCATGGGTCTCAAAGGCTGCCGATCCAGCACCCATAATACCAAGGTCACTCTTTAAAAAAGAAAATAAAAATTGTAGTTCAGGAGTCTTGGTGTGACGGATCTGCTCTTTCCTGATATCCCTTTGATAAGTCCCTGTTACTGGGCTATGAGGAGGAGTGAATCGGCTACAGAGGAACCATCGCTCGGAAGAGAGAATGTTTTTAAGAAATGTACCTGCCTAGTTAGTTTGTACTTAATTCTCTTGGCTGTTGTCAGAGACAGCAGAGACCACTCCACTCTGTGCTGCTTAGGCCTCAGTTGGGGGATTGTGTCCAGTTCTGGGCCCCACATTTCAAGAAAGATGTGGAGAAATGGGAGAAGGTCCAGAGAAGAGCAACAAAAAACGATGGAAGGTCTAGAAACCATGACCTATGAGGGAAGACCGAAAAAACTGGGCTTGTTTACTTTAGTAAAGAGAAGACTGAGAGGGGACAGGATAGCAGTTTTCAAGCACCTAAAAGGGTGTTACAAGGAGGGAGAAAAATGGTTCTTGGCCTCTGAGGATAGGGCAAGCAGCAATGGGGTCAAATTGCAGCAAGGGAGGTTTAGGTTGGACATTAGGAAAAACTTCCTACCTGCCAGGGTGGTGACATACTGGAATAAATTGCCTAGGGAGGTTGTGGAATCTCCATCCCTGGAGATATGTAAGAGCAGGTTGGACAGACACTTGTCAGGGATGGTCTAGACGGTGCTTGGTCCTGCCATGAGGGCAGGGGATGGACTCTATGACCTCGCGAGGGCCCTTCCAGTTCTATGATTCTGTGTGTTTTAATAAGGGACTTCCCAGCACTGAATTTATGATACTGAGCTTAGGCATCAGCCCAAGCCACGGAATGGGCCAGGACACAAAGGAAGAGACACAGAGATGACGTTGCCTTGGTGTGAATACACACAGCACTGGTAGCCGTGTTTATGGCTAGCTGTCTATTACGGCAGGACAGGAAGCAAGGGGAGTAGGATTTTCCCATTTGTCCATGACTTCTCTTTTCACCTTAATGTTGCAGGTCCTTTTCTTGTGGGGCTGGGCCCAGTGCCCTGAGATGGGTGTTGAAACCTGGCACACAGGGTGGCAGTGCCGCACCAGTCTGGCCCCTCCAGCCCTGCTCCCCCAACAGGGTACTGGCCCCAGTACTGCAGGACTGGAGTTTAGGGTAGAGTCCCCGCAGGAGCTTGGGGGGAGGGGAGGGCTCTCTCTCTGGGCTTCCTCTCCTCCCCAAGCCAGGATCCTGGGGTTGCTCTGGGTGGCTGGTGCCCCGGGGCAGGACAAGGAGAGAGGAACTTTTTCAAACAGGTCCAACCTAGCCTGAGATGAGATGAGTCTCCCTAGACACTCAATCCTTGCTGGCACCACCTAGAACCACAGTTTTGCTCTACAACACCTGTCCCACTCGGAACTGAACCGAGACCCACCAGCTGGCGCTAGATAGCGAAGGTTACAGGTCACCCCCACAACTTATGCCTCACCTGCTTCTTTTATGTGCTTGTAAACATCGTCACTCCCAGCAGAAGAATATGGGATGTCATCGTGGGCAACAAAATCAATCTGGGAGTTGGGAGGAAAACAAAACAAAAAAAAGGCTGAATAAATCTTTCCTTGACTCCACAGACAGTACCTTGTTCTGCAGTGACCAAGGAACAGTTCATTACTTAATGCTCAGCCGCCGTGTGCTGGTAGGTGGGGAGCAAAGCTATGAGGAGCGGCCGTGTGCTTTGCTTTCCAAACAAGGCTCACCCTTGGCAGCCAGCCCCCTGAGCACGCCTAGACAAGCCTGAGAGTGCGCGCCAAGGAGGAGACAACGTGAGTAAGATGCAAACGGCAGCTGCAAGCTTCAGACTGTTTGTTCTAAGCACGGCGAATTGCTGGCCGTGCGTAGCAGCCTGGTGCCAGCAGAGGGCAACATCTGATGCTTCGGAGGAAGGCGAGAAAGCTCTTGTGCGTCTGGCCACAAATTGCTTCCTGACCCTTGCAGCAGCGCCCTGATGCAGGAGATGTGACGCATCTGATCTCAAGCTACACAACCCAACTGTTACTAGTAGCATTGAAACTACCAGCCCTTCTCAAAGCCACCCACGGTAGCTGCCTCTCCAATGCCTGCTAGGAGAACTTCACCACAGGCCTGCTGCTTGTTTTGCGTCGACCTGCCGCTAAGGTTCAGCGACCCCTTGTTCTCACTACAGGGACCAGCAAAAAGGAGCCTTGCTGTGTCTGCCAGAATCGGCCCCACCACTGATCCGGCCTCCTCTCCAAGCGGAGTACCTCTCAGATTGAAAAGCTAGTTGGGCCTCCCTAGTCCGGTGCCTCGAGACCTCACTGGTCCTGGATGAGGGATTTTGTCAGACCAGGAAAGATCATATCTGTGTCCCCCTTGCCACCGGCCCCCCAGCCATGGCCTTGCTGCCAGGCTCCCAGCTGGCTTCCCTCTGTTGCTGGCTCCTCCGCGTTCCGCGCCTTACCCGGTGCTCAGCCAGGAACTCCGGGGTGAGGGTCCACGGCGCGTTTCTCACCACTTCGTCCACATAGCGGCAGTGCTGCACCGCGTCGTAGCGCTCGCTTTCGTTCATCACCGTGAAGCCCTTCAAGTTGTGGGTCAGCTCATCGCTGCAGACTGCAGAGCCGGGCACAGAGCAGGGAAGAGTTCTGTCAGCCCTCTGCCCCCCACCCGGGCCCCCGCCCCTGCCAGAACCCACGGTCCGACCCCTGCAGCGTGGGAGAACCCCGCACCAAGACCCGGGCAGGTCTCCCAAGCTACGCAGGCTCAGCTGTTACAGCCGAGTGCTATGGGAGGCTCTGGTAATTCAGGAAGAGAACCCAGTTTTCAACTCCCTCTCTAGAGCACTGGTGTGAAAGGTTTGGAGGCCCAGGGGGAAATAGAGCAGTCCGGAGAAATGAAACTGCTCTGAACAATTCCACTGACTGCCACAGATTGTGACGACAGCATTACTATGCAAATCTGGTCAGCTTTGGGGTTGACTGGCTGGTAGACATCCTTCACCCCAGGCCCTCTGCTGCTTGGTGAAAGAAAGGATGGATTCAGAAAGTCAACTGTCCCTCAGAAGCCAGCAGTGTTCTTGCCCTTTGGGCACCAGTACTGGAAACACAGGGCAGCCCTACAGACCACCCCGAGGCGGGGCACAGAATGCCTCATTTACCCTGGAGTTGACCTGATCCCTCGCAAACAAACATCAGAACCAAACAAGTTTCCAAAAGTAGAAACTAAGCCAAACCCCACTGGAGCGAACCCGACTAGAATGGAACGGGTTCCTAGCAAATCGTCAGATTCATTCAATCGTCAGGCCATGTAATAAATCAACGGCTCTCTATCAGCTCTACGGAATCATTTGGGAAGGGCCCGAAAGCAGATGGGCCATTATCAATCTCAATTGAGACACTGCTGCTGCTCCAGCCAAAGAGAGATACAGTGAGGGTGAAAGCTCTCCCGGGTTGGCGCCAGCATTGAGACTCCGCACACCAAGGGACGGTTTCTTAGTTGTCAGTTCAAATGGCTGCGCCGAATGTCCCCTTTTCCATGTCCCTTTTCCAGCTTTGAACCGCATTTCTGGATGCACAACATTTCGTTTGACTATAAAAAGCTCTTCCCGGCTTTACGAAACAACCCATTTCTGGGAGTTTCATTTTTACAGGCTGGGCCATTTGTCCCCGACACTGCGCTATATCCGTTTTAGTGCTACAGGGGACGAGATTACAACGTGGTCGCCCTTTGAGCTGCAACAAGTGCCAGGCACAGGGTAAGCCGCTGAAGGTGGGAGAGTGCAAAGCTGCTCCTGCCTTAGGAAAAGTTAATTACTCTTGTAAGGCTGCCAAAGTCAACAAAGACCTCTCCTTACCTCCCACAATGAGATACGTGTTCGGGAAGAGGTTCTTTGCCTGCATCAAGGCCCGGGCATGTCCAGAGTGAAATAAGTCAAATATCCCGTCAGCATAAACCCTGACCGGTCGGTCCACTGAGCACAAAAACACAGACGTTATTCGTGGAGAACCATTCCTGGGGAAAGCAGTTGCTGGCCGGGCCTTACTGGGTGCTTCCGAAGACCTAAGAAGCCTTGTGTTCCTTGTGGGAGGAAGCTGGTTGTATGTGTTGTTAGGGAAACAATTATCAGAATGCAGAGCTGTAGCCAAAAAAGATTTGAGAAGGAAAACTGCTGGTTTGTTCCCTCTTCTGCCAGGAGTCAGGGGACGGGAGTGCCAGACTAAGCATGGAACGATCTTTAGAGACAAAACTTAACACCCAAAATGCCATGCGTAGTGTTCTCATGGGGCTAAGTGCAGCTGCCCTGGGACGCGGTGCACACAGCGCGAAAGGAAACCTGGGGAAAATGGAAACATCCAACACCTTCATCTCCAGGAACATGCAACGTGCCAACATTCTGGACAGCAACTGACTACTCCTGGGTGACTTGCCAAAGACTGCACGGGTTTGCGTTATGTTTGCCCAGCAGGCTCCTGGAGGAAATCCTGACATCCTCCCCGTTTCCACCATTAGTTTACTCCTGCACTGGTCCCCCATGCTTGAACCTCGCTGCTATAGCTACTGTCCTCTGGTTCTGCGAGCCAATGAGAATTCCTGCTTAGCATGACCTCCAAAAATTGACCAGGCAGGGCACTATTGAGCCAATTGTTATGTTCCTGCTTCCAAGCTAGGGATGTTACATTTCGATTGATCTAATTTCCATCAACTACTCAATTAGTAGATAAGGGGGGAGCTCGCTATCCCGCTGCGCCTCTCCCTTTGAAATGTCGAAGAGAGAGGCACAGCAGTAGGGATGCCTCTGCCTTCCCTACCCCCTGTGGAGACAGTGATGGGGAAAGCAGCTGCTAAACCGGCTCCTGCTCCCCTGCCTTGTAGCATCCCTCTGATAGAGGCAGCAAGGTGCGTGTGTGTGAAGCAAGTAGTCGAGCAACTACTTGACTGTCTGATAAACGTATGCCTATGTGGCTTTGACGTGACTCAGGAACGTGGCTAGAAGCAATGCTACTACTGAGGAAAGCACAAGGGGCTCTCATTATATGAAGCTCCCAGAACAAAGAGGCTCCAAACTCAGCTGCAGCCTCCGGGCAAACATGATACCAAGTTAGTCACCAGAGTGGAGCTACGGTCCTAGTTAGCAAAGCAGGGCTCTGACACAAGGGAGGCTGGAGCTATGTAACTGAGCCAGGAGAAATCCCAGAGCCAAGTGCATGGCTAGGTAAATGCTCTCTCATTTGGTTTTACAGTACTTACAGGGGGTGCCCCTGGTCGCCTCTTCGAACGTGACTCTGACGTACGGCTTACTGTAGTCCTCTTCAATTTCATCTGAAAAGGGAGCTGGCTCCCTCAAGCCCTGCGTAAGCAACGAGAGAGAAGAACAGCTTGCAAACCCCTCATGGTTCAGCCTATTCCACAGCCACAGCACAAGCCGACAGAGAGGGCAGGGGAATTGGACAGCTGGGAAATCGCATGGCAGCCATACTGTGCTAGGAGAGCCTGGTAAGAAGGCACTAATGAGATTTTCTACAGCTAAGCCCCCGTGCCGTCCCCGTGCTTAGGGATGGAGAGAACTGAGGTGAGCCGAGGTCACAGCGACACATGGAATCAAGGGAAACACTCAGCACAGCCCAAGGCGCAGACACCCAGCTGGCGTGAACGCTGATACCTCTCTGGGCTTCAGTGAAGCTAGGACCTTCCTGTCGGCTAAGGATCCCCCTTCCCCCGCATGAGTCCTTTACTCCTGAGTTTTGAGATCTAGCCACTGGACAGAACTGCCTCAGCTGGACCATACCATGGAACAAATCTCCCCGGGCATAGTGTATAAATGGTCACAGCTATCAGGACACACAAGCCATTACAACTCCGCAAAGCTGGTCTGACTCTCCAGGGAAAGTGTTTAGAAGTACCCATCTGGAAGCCCTAGAAGGTGGGAAACCAGTCGCGTTCTGTGGCCTGATAGAACCTTACAGACCCTCACCGGTCCCTTTGACACTACCAGCAAGAGCAGCGCATCGGCAGAGTTCGGAGGGAGGAGGAGGATGCAGATGCAGGAAGTCCAGTGACAGCTGCTGGGGGGCTGATCGTGTCTGGCAGAATGAAGCACCCGGGCCTCCAATGAGCTGCCGGCTCGGTGTCAGTTTAATGACGCGGCAGGGCCTGTGACAGTTCGAGAGTCGCTCGTCCCTTTGACACTACCAGCAAGAGCAGCGCATCGGCAGAGTTCGGAGGGAGGAGGAGGATGCAGATGCAGGAAGTCCAGTGACAGCTGCTGGGGGGCTGATCGTGTCTGGCAGAATGAAGCACCCGGGCCTCCAATGAGCTGCCGGCTCGGTGTCAGTTTAATGACGCGGCAGGGCCTGTGACAGTTCGAGAGTCGCTCCCCTTTTCACAGGGAGGTGTGTCCGCGCAGCGATCACCCTTTCCCACGCCGGATGACTAGGCATTGACCTTGCTACCCACGTCATGTCACAAGCCAAACTGCAGCTGCAAGAGGGTCCTCGGCAGTTTCCTCCTGCCCTACTGCAGCGCCCTGCTGTGAGCCCTGGCAGCCTTTCTGCAAGCACTGCCGCGGTCTCTCCCAACGGGGATCCTGTGCTGACACAGATCTCCTCGTGCAGCACGTGGGAAGGCGGCAGCCAGGCCGCTCTGCTGCGGTGAGCGGATGCCCTCTGAGACCTTCTTTAACAAGAGCATCGTACCGAGCCTCTGGCCTCTTCTGTGCTGTCTCGTCCATTACGGTCAGAGGCCTTGGGGCTTCTGGACCTCACGGAGGCAGAAGCAGCATCATTCCTAGCTCTAAATGTGGAGCCCTGGGCATGCATCTCCTCATGGCAGGGGTTCTATATTAAACGCTGACATTTAATGAGGCCAAAGTCCATTCACCCACACTGCCTTCAGCTTTCCTTCTTAGCCCTCAATCCCCCTGTGAGCAAGGCTTTGATTTTTTGATACTTCCGTGCTTGCCTCTGTAATTACTGTGCATTAGTTCAGGCTCCCTAAACCAGGGAAGAGTGCGTGTAGGGGGTATTGTGTGCAGATACGTGACACAGAAACAAACCGAATGCTTGCAATTTCACAATCACACACACGGCAATTAGAACAGTACAGAAATGTAAGTGCCTCCTGCAACTAATATAACGGATCACACAACCCCCTCAAAGCTGCCTGTCTAGATAAAAAGGCCTGTCTTCTCTCCTGTAAGAAGGTTGGGATACGCACCCTGAAATAGTGAATACAACAGATGATGAGAGCAGGGCTATAAATCAATCGGCGTTTCATTCCTGTCTGCTGGGGGACTCTAGCACTGCTAAATGAGCAATCAGATCTTCTGTGATGAGTATGTGCCAAGAGAGCACAAAGTATCTCGGTGACACTTTTGCCCTTGCAGGAACAGGGAGCCCTGCCAAACTCCTAGGAATAAAACTTTTCATGACAGCGAAGGAGCGAACGCGTCAAGAGATTCACAGGGAGCCTGCACCTCCAAGAGGCGGAGGAGTTCTGCAGAGGACAGATCAGAGGGAGTGGAAGGAAGAAGTGTAAGCACAGCTCGCTTTGTGCCATCTGTGGTCAGGCGCTCTGTCAGGGCCATGAGTGTAGCACTAAAGAAGGTGGGGGCACATGTTACAAGGTCTGCTGGTTGAAGCACAGGCATGGAAGTCAAGGAGATCAGGGTCCTACACCCAATGAGAAGTAACCTTTAGCAAGTCACCGCACCCTTCTGTGCCTCAGTTTCCCCATCTGCAAAAAGAAGATACTAATTCTTACCCATTCCAGTTTGGGAGGAACTTTGAGACATTCTAATGGGAGATGCTGTTAAAGGGCAAAGCACTGTTCATATATCTGGGGAGGTAAAGGCTGATGCACATTGCAGGTATATTTATAAATGATTCTGACCCCTCAGCGATAGGGGAAAGGATGATGGCCAACTCTGACAAAGATCAGGAAGGAACAACTCTAGAATGTGAGACACACATGAGCCCCACCGAGGGGGAGGGAGAGAACAACCACACAGGACACACATACTGTATTACAGCCAGAGTAGACAAGCTCTGGAAAGAGGCAGAGATTTTGACAAGGGTGGTCCCAATTAACCAGCGGTTCTTAAACTCTTTGGCCCATGGCCCACCTCGCTCAACGCGGACCTGTCCGTGGACCACCAGCCAACCATCCATGAAGACAAAATGGGTGCAGGAAGGAGTGGGGGCCTGGGGTCTGGCCAGGAGGTGGAGTGCAGGAGAAGGGGGAGGTAAAGACTGATGCACATCGCAGGTATATTTATAAATGATTCTGACCCCTCAGCGATGGGGGAAAGGATGATGGCCAACTCTGACAAAGATCAGGAAGGAACAACAAGGGGGTAGGGTGGTCAGGGAGGGAGGGAGAGTACAGGAGTGGGAGGGGGTATGGCGTCTGGAAGAGAAGGCGATTGGCAGTGCTTACCTGGCTCCGTGCCTCCCACCGCTCTCAGGTACCTCCCCACCGCTGCTCTCATTGGCCAGGATTCCGGCCAATGGGAGCAGCCAGGAAAGCCTCCAGGCAAGTAGTTTCCCATTCCCCCAGCTAGGGTGGGGAGAGGGAACACTTGCTTCCCTCAAACCGGATCCGGCCCACGAGGCTCCCCACCCTCACGGTGCTCCAACCTCGCGGAGGAGCCCACAGGGCTGGAGCGCCAGCACAGGCTCCCCACCGCAGGGGTGAGGGGTGCAAGCCCGTCACAGTTCTCAACATGGGTCCCACTTTGAGAACCACTGCAATAAAACCACCCCTCGGGTCTGCCTGGGAGGAGGAAGGAGAAAGCAGATTGGGGCCTGGCTCTTCCAGGGAGTGAAACTTTTTAAAGTAAAAGCAGCTGAGTTATAGCCCTAGCAGCATTAATGATTTACAGATTCATGAGTCAGCTGGAGAGACACTCCTCCCCTACGGCCACGCTTTCGTTCTGTTTTCCTCAGGCTCAGAGTGCGTTTACACAGGCAGCACTTGCATTTCGGATGAGAGGAGTCAACTGCAGTCCCTCTCACACTGCTCTGGCAGGTGTGAGAGAGAGAGAGAGAGAGAGAGAGAGAGACACCCCAACCTCCCCCCAGCCTCCCTCCCTCTGCACAGCACATTCGCCTCTGTTCACAGAGCAGTGGCAGCTGTCAGAATGGAGCGAAAGGGAAAAGGCACATACCTCCAGGCACGACTGCTGAGTTTCTGGATGCAGAGTGGGAGTGGCCACTCTGAGTACGCTCAAGAGGGCAATTAGACCAGTAAAAGCAATCAAGAGTCTTTACTGGCACATCACATGAAACTCAGCAGTTTCAGTGCAAAATGTGGATTGCACAAAACCCTGACTTTTTTGTGCTAAAATCTTAAACGTAGCCTTTTAGAGAGGCATCGTCAAATTAACGGAGGCCCAGCATTTCTGTTTTGGAAAACAAGGCTGCACTGAGCCCAGCACGGGCATGAAACATTTTCTTGGGTTATCTAAAAGCTTTCCTGCAGTGCTGGAAACACTAATGCAGCTTCCTGCTAAATGCATGAGAACCAGAAAGTGAAGCCCATTAAACACACGATGAAACTAGTCAGTCTACTATCACGGCAGATGACAAAACAAGGTGTATAAAAATAGATTAATAAATCTGATTATATTCAGAAGAAATTAAAAAAAACAATTTAAAATTAAATTTGAAATGACTACCTATATTAAAGCCTAAACTTAACTGTATTCTATTAACATCATTTAATTTAAATAAAAATAGAATATGCAAGCAGTACATAATTTCTGCACAAGTTTTAAAGCAAGTCAAACCAGTAAACAGGTGGGAGTCATTGGCTAAGCACCTAGAACTAGAGTTTGCTGAAATGCAAAACCAGCTTTTGACTGATGGGAGCTTCTTCTGCAGGTGCAGAGAATATTTGTTTTGCTTCATTCACCTAGTTCAGTTCAACAATAGATTCACTCAAAGCTGAGAAACCAACTGGAAGTTTAACGAGCAGTAAAAGCTCATTTTCGTTTTCCAATCTGTGAATAAAAATGGAGGCGTGAGCAGATGAGCTCTACTAGTTCTAAAACTTTGAAGGACATGGTAAACAGCCATTTTGGCTAGCACGGCCTTTGTTTAATAAATCAGTTTTAAATGTGAACCACATGTGGATATATTTTCATAGGTATCCAGCACATTTCAGGTAGTTTTATTTAACTAATTAAAAAATTGTAAATGTTATTTTTTTGAATTCTTAGCTCAATTCCAATTCCCATCCAAATGCAGCCTGACACAAATCATACACTACATACAAATAATTAAGCTGGTAAATTTGAAAAAAAAAATCTTAATTTTTTACATTTTATGATGTTAGAAAATAGTGAAACTGAGTAGTGTGCAAAGCTATATAATTGCTCAAATAAATGTGTATAGATATAGCATCTTCCTAGTTAGTAAAAAGTTGTACCAAATTTACTTTAAAGGCTACATTTAGTTGCAAATCAATGTCTTAGCTAGTTATGTGAATGTTTAACTGGTTAACCAGTGGGAGCCAGAGCAGTTCTCTGCCTGCTGTGGGCAGGGGGCTGCTCCAGCCTGGCAGGGGGCCCATTGTGAATAGGGGCAGTTCTGGCTGGGCTCAAATAGCTCTTGCCTGCCCCCGCCAGGAAGGCCGCTTCAGCCACGGCCTTCCCCCTCCCCCTTAATTGCTTAACCAGTTAAACAATATGTTAACCAATTGGTTAACAAATTAAACAGGATTGTCATCTCTAGTCTTAACGATTACCAACCAATAAGACTCAACCTCACTTTAGGAAAAAAACTAAAATGTTGAAATGTGAAAGAAGATAGTTTCTGCTTGCTGATGTAAATCGATCCACCTCAAAGCAAGATATTAATTACAATTATTTTGGTTTTAATAATTTAGCCACCAGTTCTGCAAGCACTCATATGTCTTACTCCACATGCAGTTTCACTGATTTCAGTGTCATTATTCGTGTGCTTAAAGTTAGCCACATGAGTAGCTGTAGGAACACTGCCAGAAATGGGTCTAGGGAGCCAATATCGATTTTGTTTAAAATCTTGCCTATGTCACTAAAGAAATGAGACCAGTGAAAAGGTGACTTATCTCAAGTCTGTACACATCCACGCCCAGAACCAACATCCGCATTCACCACTAAACAGCTTTCCTCACCTTGCTTGGGACTCCATTTTTGTACGTAGGTACACCCGCATGAGCAAAGGAGGATTTTGACTCAGCTTTGCAAGAAGCAAACTGCACTTGCCAGGCTGCAGAACTCTGCCCCTTTCCCTGGGCACAGAGGGCATTTTACTCTGCTCCAATCAATGTTGCAACATCAGTGTCATTCAGCGGCTTTTCAAAAGGGAAAGCTTTCTGATCAGGAGCCCTGCTTACTTACAAACGAGTGCCGAGGCATTTTCAGGGGAATTCCATCTGGCTCTGTTGCCCCATTGGGTCCGGACCCATCTTTTCTTCTCTTCCGGGGATTCAGCCTTGATGAGCTGGGGGGCTCCATCACAGGAGATGGGGTAGGTAAGGCGTTTCCAGCAGACTATAAGAATGAAATGAAGGAGAAATGTAAGAGGAAGTTCCCGGCAGAAGGGCTGAGAAACCAGCCAACGAGGAGCACTGCATACAAATGATCAGTCCAAAGCCACCTATACAGGGCCCTACCCAGTGGAATGTGGCAGGAGATGCCAAAACTTCTTGACAAACAGTGCCAATGGGAACTCTGAATAAGTTCTCTCTGCAGAGTAGCTCCTAGTCACAGGAATGAGGAGAGGGATATAATCAGCTGGCTGGAGAGAAACTCCCTCACGCAGGAGTTGACGTATGAGTTATGGTATCATGAGCTTGGAACTAGTTACGGTATTTTAGTATCTGAGGCAGGCCAAAGATTAAAACATGCCCAGTCCACATGACTAAAGGGTGACTGTGTATAATTTCCTAGCTTTCATTTCAGTGACAAACTGGATGCACAAAACGAACCTCCACACAACAACAATCCATCACTGGAGATATTAAGAGCAGGTTAGATTGACACCTGCCAGGGAAGGTAACTGGACTTGATGTTCTCTCGCGGTCCCTTCCAGTTCTAGCATGCTACGATTCTAAGACAGATGATGGGCAAAGCTGTATTTCCATTAGGGATGTGAATGATTAACAAGTTAATGGGTGAGGCTTACTGGCTACGGTAAACTGGTGGGGGCTGGCACAGCCCGATGGGGTCTTCCATGAGCAAGGAGTGCTCTAGCCTGGCTGCAGCAGATGGAGGCGGAGGACCGCTCCAGCCCAGTCTGACTGGAGTGCCCCCTACCTGCTCCGTTTAATTGGTTAAAAAGAACCTTTACCTGGTTAGCTAAATAAATGGGATTTTACATCCCCTGTTTCCATTGGGGTGGGTGCCCATGAACTAAATCGTGAATAGGCTATTTGCAGTGAGAGCT